AAAAAAAAAAAAAAAAAAAAGAAAAAGAAAAAAACAGGATAAAACCTTTGTGACCTTGAGTTAGGCAAAAAATTCTTACATACAATACCAACAGCACAATCCATAAAATAACAAATTGATAAATTGGACAAAATTAAAAACTTCTGTTCTTTGAAAGACTAACAGAATGGAAAGACAAGCCATAGACTGGACAAAAATATTTGCAGAGCATATATCTGATAAAGAACTTGCATTCAAAATATATAAAGAACTCTTTTCTTTTCTTTTCTTTTCTTTTCCTTCCATTTCTTTTCTTTTCTTTTTTTTCTTTTCTTTTGAGATGGAGTTTCACTTCTGTTGACCAGGCTGGAGTGCAATGGCGCGATCTCGGCTCACCACAACCTCCGCCTCCCAGGTTCAAGCGATTCTTCTACCTCAGCCTCCCAAGTAGCTGGGACTACAGGCATGCACCACCACACCTGGCTAATTTTGTATTTTTAGTAGAGATGGGGTTTCTCCATGTTGGTCAGGCTGGTCTCAAACTCCCGACCTCAGGTGATCCATCCGCCTTGGCCTCCCAAAGTGCTGGGATTACAGGCACGAGCCCACCATGCCTGGCCCGTAAAGAATTTTCAAAATTCAGGCCGGGCGCGGTGGCTCACGTCTGTAATCCCAGCACTTTGGGAGGCCGAGACGGGCGGATCACGAGGTCAGGAGATCGAGACCATCCTGGCTAACACGGTGAAACCCCATCTCCACTAAAAATACAAAAAATTAGCGGGGCATGGTGGCGGGCGCCTGTAGTCCCAGCTACTCGGGAGGCTGAGGCAGGAGAATGGTGTGAACCCGGGAGGCGGAGCTTGCAGTGAGCCGACAGCGTGCCACTGCACTTCAGCCTGGGCAACAGAGCGAGACTCTGTCTCAAAAAAAAAAAAAAGAATTTTCAAAATTTAATAATAGGAAAACAAACAACCTAATTAACAAACAGGCAAAAGATCTGAACAGATGCTTCAGCAAATAAGATATGTGGATGGCAAATAAGCATATGAAAAGATGCTCAACATCATTGGTCATTAGGGAAATGTTAATTAAAACCACCTTTGAGAAAGACTAAGGCTTTATCCGTAATAGTTCCAAACTGGAAAAAACCCAAATGTTCATTGAAAGGTTAATGAATATCAAAATGTGGCTGATCTATACCACAGGAATAATATTGAGCAGCAAAAACGGAATACATTACTGATACGCAAAAATATGGGTGGCTGGCCGGGCGCGGTGGCTCAAGCCTGTAATCCCAGCACTTTGGGAGGCCGAGACGGGCGGATCACGAGGTCAGGAGATCGAGACCATCCTGGCTAACACGGTGAAACCCCGTCTCTACTAAAAATACAAAAAACTAGCCGGGCGAGGTGGCGGGCGCCTGTAGTCCCAGCTACTCCGGAGGCTAAGGCAGGAGAATGGCGTGAACCCGGGAGGCGGAGCTTGCAGTGAGCTGAGATCCGGCCACTGCACTCCAGCCCGGGCTACAGAGCAAGACTCCGTCTCAAAAAAAAAAAAAAAAAAAAGGGTGGATCTCAAAATAATTATTTTGAGGCTAGGTGCGGTAGCTCACTCCTGTAATCCCAGCACTTTGGGAGGCCGAGGTGGGTGGATCACCTGAAGCCAGGAGTTCGAGACCAGCCTTGCCAACATGGTGAAACCTTGTCTCTACTAAAAACACAAAAATTAGCCAGGCATGGTGGTGCACACCCGTAATCCCAGCTACTTGGAAGGCTGAGGCACGAGAATTGCTTGAACCCGGGAGGTAGAGGTTGCAGTGAGCTGAGATCGTGCCACTGTAGTCCAGCCTTGATGACACAGCGAGACTTTGTCTCAAAAAAAAAAAAATTTTTTTTTGAGTAAAATAAGCCCATCCCAAAAGAGATTTATGTGAAAATAATTTATATAAAATTCTAGAAGATGCAAAAAATTAATAAGGCCTCAATGACCTGTAGAAGAGTATTATAACCTAACCACATGTATTTGGAGTCCAAGAAGAAGGGGAAGGAGAGAGAGTGAGAGATAAAAATATTTGAAGAAATAATGGCTGAAATTTTCCACATTTGATCAAAAACATCAGCCCACAGCTACAGGAAGCACAGTGAATCTAAAGCAGGATAAATACAAAAAACCCACAGCTGGGCATATCATAGTCAAACTGCTAAAAACCAAGCATAAGAGAGAAATCCTAAGTCAGCCAGAAAAACATATTGTACCACCTACAGGGAAATGACAATTTTTTTTAATTTTTAAATTTTTTATTATTTTTTTTTTGAGATAGAGTCTTGCTCTGTCGCCCAGGCCGGAGTGCAGTGGCGCGATCTCGGCTTACCGCAACCTCCACCTCCCGGGTTCAAGCAATTCTCCTGCCTCAGCCTCCTGAGTAGCTGGGACTATAGGCGCACACCATCGCGCCCAGCTAATTTTTTGTATTTTAGTAGAGACGGGGTTTCACCGTGTTGCCCAGGCTGGTCGTGAACTCCTGAGCTCAGGCAATCCGCCCACCTCGGCCTCCCAAAGTGCTGGGATTACAGGCATGAGCCACCATGCCCGGCCTCACACTGCATTTTCTAAATGAATAAAACAAAGCACAGAGAGGTTGAGCAATTTGCTCAAGCCACACAGCCATCAAGAGGCCGAGTTGGGATCTGAACCTCCGGATTGCCTGATCTGAGCTGTCTGAGGTACTATGATTTTTATTTCATCCTCAGGCTGCCAGATGCTTGGTGTTATTGCCATTTTCTAGACAGGTGAACTGAAGCTGAGAGGGAAAAAGCAACTTGCCTGAGGTACCCAGTGAATCAGCAGAAGTGAGATGAGTTATTTGATTTAATTCTCATAAGCAACCTCTGGGGTACTGAAGGTATTCATATATTTTGTCATCCAAAAACCAGGGCAGCTTTGAAAGTAAATGTGGGTGCTACGATGACTTATGCTATGATAAGAGGCATGAATCAGGACAGAGGGATGTCCTATTTTACAGAGGCCCAGAGCAAAGAAGGGTCTTGCTTCCTGGTCCACTACAACTGCCTAGTTGAGCCGTGACGGATTACTGGTTCCTCACAATGACCACGGGAAGCCTAGATGGACTTGCTGATTCCCCACCTGGGGGAACTGAGGTGCCCCACCTGGTCGAACTTGCGCTGCTTCTTCTCCAGGGTGCTCACAAGCTGCCGCTGCTGCTCCAGGTCCATGGTGGCGTCGTCCAGCTCCTGCTGCAGCCGGCGGCGGCCCCGCTCCAGCCGATCCACGGTCTCTGTCTTTTCTGCCAGGCGCTGGGTCAGGGCCTCAGCCTCACGGGCTGCCCGGCGCCGTGCCTCCTCCCCTGCCTCCAGTGCCCCTGCCTCCTCCTCCTGGCGCCGCCGCCACTCGGAGAGCTGAGGGGAGGAGAGAGAGGGTGGTTGGTGGTCACAGCCATGAGTGACCAAGGTGTGAGCTGGTGGTGCTCCATTTTCAGGATGAAGAGACTGAGGCCTGAAGAGGGAAAAGGGGCACTCTGCTGGGCTCTTCTGCCTCTGAGTGGTATGAAGTTGTGAGTACTATAAGCCCTAGTTCTTCCAGGGAATTAAAATGACTCCCTCCAAGACGCAGAGATGAATCAGACCTGGAGTCTTTCCTGGGGAGCCCCTCGTCTGCTGGGGGAGACACAGCGTCACAGCCAGGGTGACAGGGGTTAAGGTAGCAGTATGGGAGCTATGGAAGTCCACAGGAAGGGCTCAGAATCTGTTCAGAACATTCAGGAGAAACTTCCTGAAGGAGGACCATTTGAGATGGGTCTTGAAGTATGCATAGGAGTTTGCCAGTTGAAGGATATCTGCAGGCACGCACCATCACTCATTCATTCAATAAGCATTTCTCCAAGCCTACCATACATGAGGCTCTATATTGGGCTGTGCTACAGACCTGGATCTAACTCTAATGGGATTCTAGTTTGCAAGGGCTCCCGGTCTGGTGGGGAGACTCATGGGCAGAGAAAGTCCCAGCCCAAGGTGACTGGAGTTGGGACAGAGGAGAAAGAGAAGAGGGGTCAGGAAACTTCTCACAGGGGAGCCTAATGCTAAGTCCGGAAAAATAAAAGGGTTTTTTCAAATAAAATAGGAAAGTAGTGACAGAGATGAATACAGCTAAAGACAGAGGAAGGACCAGAGATTGCAGGGCCTCAAATGCCCAACTAAGAGGCATGGACTTTGTCTAGGGGTACTGGGGAGGTGTGGGAGAGCTGTGAGCAGGGGAAGGACAGGGTCAGCTCCAGGTGAAGAAAGAAGCTTCTGGGGCTGTGTAGTGGATGAGCTGTTAGGGGAGAGGTTGGAGGCCCAGAGGCCAAGAGGAGGATCTAGGTGGGAGAGGACGGTGCTGGAGCTGGGACAAGGGATGAGGCTGAGAGTCAGGGGGCAGGAGAGCCGGCTGGGCACAGGCTGTGGGGGGTAAAGGGGAGCCAGAGATGAGAAAGGCACCCATGGGTCTGGCCTATGAGAAGGTGGGCAGCGTGGCCGTCCCTGAGCTGGGGAACCCAAGAGAAGCAGTGAGGTGGGCTGTGCCTCCCTGAAGGTCTTACGTAGGGCTGCTCACCTGGGCCTGGGTGCTCTGCAGTTCACGGCCTGCCCGCTCCCTGGCGGCTGCCTCCTCTTCCAGCTGCTCACGTAGCCCGGCTGCCTCAGCCTCCATGGCTCGCACCCGGGACCCCAAGGCCAATTTTGCCCTGGTCTCCTCCTGCAGGAGCTCCTGTAAATGGAGAAGACGGCAATGTCAGGTGTGGTCGGGAGGAAAGGAGGGGAGGGTGACGGTGGATCCAAAGGGCAGGCAGGGTCACCTGGGTGTCGTGCAGCTGGGCTTCTGTGCTGCTCAGCTCCTTGCTAAGACGGATGGCTTTGGACTCAGCCTCGTTCAGCGCCCCAGACACATTCTCCAGTTCAGCCTGCAGGGAAGGGACAGGGGAATGAAGCCCTCTAATCGTGGCTTCCACTCAGCGACCCCATGTGCCTCAAATCCCTCCCACACTGGCGGGAATGTGAAAAGGTGCAGTTGCCATGGAAAACAGTCTGGCAGGTCCTCAGATGCTTAAACACAGGGTTCCCACATGACCCAACAATTCCACTCCTAGGTGTACACCCCACTTACCTGGGCTCGCTGTAGCTTCTCAGCAGCCTCCGCTCGTGCCCTCTCCCCGTCACCAGCCCGGCCCTGCACCTCCTGCAGCTGTGACTCCAGGCGGCGCCTCCGCTGCTCACCCTCCTGACGTGCAGTCTGCAGGCTGCTCAGTTCCGCCCGCAGCTCAGACACCTCGGCCTCCAGGGCCAGCCGCGTCTTCTCCCACGCACCTTTGCCCTGGTGTGGGAAGGAGATGAGCAAAGATCTGTGAGGCCTTTCCTGGACCAGGCCAGGCACACTCCCCTCTCAGGGCCTTCGCACTGGCTGTTCCCTCTGCCTGGAACACACTTCTCCCAATGCACAAATAGTGCACTCCTCCCTCCCTCGTTTTTTTTTTTTTTGAGACAGTGCTTCACTCTTGCTGCCCAAGCTGGAGTACAATGGCGTGATCTTTGCTCACTGCAACCTCTGCCTCCCGCGTTCAAGCGATTCTCCTGTCTCAGCCTCCCAAGTAGCTGGGATTACAGGGGCCCACCACCACACCCAGCTAATTTTTTGTGTTTTCAGTAGAGACGGGGTTTCGCCATGTTGGCCAGGCTGGTCTTGAACTCCTGACCTCAGGTGATCCACTTGCCTCAGCCTCCCAAACTGCTGGGATTACAGCCGTGAGCCACCACGCCTGGCCCATTTTTTTGTTTGTTTGTTTATTTGTTTTTTGAGATGGAGTCTTGCTCTGTCACCCAGGCTGGAGTGCAATGGCGCAATCTCGGCTCACTGCAACCTCCGCTTCTTGGGTTCAAGTGATTCTCCTGCCTCAGCCTCTCGAGTAGCTGGGACTACAGGAGTGTGCACCACCACGCCCAGCTAATTTTTGTATTTTTAGTAGAGGTGGGGTTTCACCATGTTGGCCAGGCTGGTCTTGAACGCCTAGCCTCAAGTGATCTGCCTGTCTCAGCCTCCCAAAGTTACAGGCATGAGCCACCGTGCCTGGCCACTCCCTCAGTTTTTTACCCTGATGTCACCTTCTCACAGAATACCTCCGCAGCCTCTCTACTTAAAAACTCACCCGCCTTAGAATTCTGATTCCCTTTTTCTGTTCATTATGGCCCCATAGCACTTATCGCCCAGATATAAACTGAAGGTATTTATATCGTTTACTCTCTGCCTCTCTCACTAAAAGGAAAGCTCCACAAGGGAAGGCAGTGCTGGTTGTTGGGTTCGTGGCTGGTTTCCCAGCAATGCTCCTGGAATATAGTCCACACCGTATTCATGCTTGCTGAATGAAAGCTGCACATGAATGCGTGAGGAAAGGAGCCCAGAGAGATGAGATGGCCTAGAACCAGCCGGAGGTACCTCCTCCAAACCCGCGTCCTGCCCTGCCCTCCCCGTGGCCCCTCCGCCCTGTCCCCCTGCCCCAACCCACCCTCCGGGCCTGCTCCAGCTGCTCCGCCAGCTCCCCCAGGGCCTGGCCGTGGCGCTGTCTCAGCTCCTGCACTGCCGCCTCATGGATGCGAGTCTCCTCCTCCAGAGTCTTCTTCAGCTCCGTCACCTCCTGTTCCCTCTTGGACCTTTATTGGGGGAAGGGAGAGGGGAAGAGAATTTCAGAGCAGAGGAAGGCAGGGGCTTTGGGGGAGCTGGTTGTTTCTCCTTTCCATGTTTCCTAAAAACATGAGAACCTCATGTAATGCTCCCCAGGAGATCTGGGTGGTGACACTGTGGAAGGAGTGTGGCTTTAAGGGTGAACTCCTATTCACCTTTCAAAACCCTTATCCAAAAGGCCCTTCCTCAGGAAAGTCTTCCTGGATTTCCCATAGACTTGGTTTAGGGGTCTTCAGTTAGCACCCACAATGCCCTGTGTCACTCCACTAAAGCACCCCTTGTTCTGGGTTAAGATTGTCTTTGCCTGAATCTGCCTCCCCTGAGACTGGAAATTCCCAAGGGTAACACCTGGGTCTGACCCATCTCTGTCCCCAGCTTGACCAGGCTGGGCCTAGAGCTGGTGGTTCAAGAACAACTGAACTGTAAGCCTCTGTAAGGACAGAGACTTTGCACCTAAGTCCTTCCCCCAGCCCGCCATGTGCACAGGCTGTGACAGCAGCTGTCACCGGGCCTCACCGGAGCTCCTGCTGTGCGTTGGTGGAGTCCAGCGTGTCCTCCAGCTCGCTCCGCAGTGCCTCTAGCTCCTCGCCCAGGTCCCGGCGCTGCTTCTCCGCCTTGGTCCTGGCCACGCGCTCGGTCTCCAGGTCCTCCTGGGCCTCGGCCAGAGCTGCTTGAGCCTCCCGCAGGGATTTCAGCAGCTGGGCCCGGGCCCCACCCTCGTCTTCTGCCCTGGAGGTGACAAGAACCATGGAGTTGGTACACGGGCAGGCAAGGGCGAGGCAATGATTTCTGGGGACAGAGAGGCTGGATGTGGGCTTTGGGGGTGGCCAGTCCCAGGTTCGAATCCTATATCTGCCACTGGGTACTTGACTCCAGTACTAATTTAATTTTTTTGAGACAGGGTCTTCCTTTGTTACCCAGGCTGGAGTGCAGTGGTGCAGTCATGGCTTACTGCAGCCTCAAATTCCTGGGCTCAAGTGATCCTCCTACCACAGCATCCCATGTAGCTGAGACCACAGTTGTGGTCCATCACGCCTGGCTAATTTTTCTTTTTCCCCAAAGAGACGGGGTCTCACTATGTTGCCCAGAGCTGGTCTTGAACTCCTGGCCTCAAGCCAGGGGGTGGTTCTATCCTCCCACCTCGGCCTTACAAAGTGCTGAGACTGCTGGAGTGAGCCACTTCGCCCAACCTGACTCATTTCGAACCTCAGTTTTCTTAGCTATAAAGTGGGAATGACAGCAACAGTAATCGTAGGAGACACTTAGTAAGTTCCTGCCTCGTGCCAGTGCTTTACTTGTATCACCTCATTTAACGTTCCTGCCAAATGAGGAAACTGAGGCCCAGTACGGAGAAAGCACTTGCCAAGGTTACCCGGTCCGTGAGTGGCTGGGTTGCCCCGGAGACCCTCCTTGTAACTCTTACAGGGCTGTGGCTTCCTGTCCCTTCATGCAGTGTCATTGCAAAGAGAAGCTGGATCCGGGGACTGTATCAACTGGGACCTGGGGGTTAATGGCTCAGGGAGGCACACAGGCCTGGCTCAGTATCCTCTCCTGGCCCCCTGCTCTGGCAAGTGACTTAAGAAGGGCAGGGTCCTGGTTTGTGGGAGGACATGACAATGAACATTCCCCTTTACCAGGGTTGCTGGGGGGATGACGATAAAAATAAAGCACAAAAAGACCACATGTTGTATGAAGTATCTAGAATAGGCAAATTCTATTTAGACAGAAAGTGGATCAAAGGCTGCCAGTGTGGGGAGAAGGAGGGATGGGGAGTGACTGCTTTTTTTTTTTTTTTTTTGAGAGAGGATCTCGTTCTGTCACCGAGACCAGAGTGCAGTGGCTCCCTGCAGCCTCGACTTCCCAGGTTCAAATGATCCTCCCACCTCCGCCCTCTAAGTGGCTGGGACTACAGGCACACGCCACCATGCTTGGCTAATCTTTTTAAGTTTTTGGTGGAGACAGGGTCTCGTTATATTGCCCAGGCTGGTCTTGAATTCCTGGGCTCAGGTGACCCTCCTGCCTCCTCCTCTCAGAGTGCTAGATTATGGCGTGAGTCACTGTGCCTGGTCGTGATTGCTTAATACATACAGGGTTTCCTTTTGGGGTGATAAAAATATTCTGGAGGCCGGCACAGTGGCTCATGCCTGTAATCCCAGCACTTTGGGAGGCCGAGACAGGTGGATCACCTGAGGTCAGGAGTTCGAGACCAGCCTGGCCAACATAGTGAAACCCCGTCCTTGCTAAAAATACAAAAATTAGCTGGGTGTGGTGGTGGGCACCTGTAGTCCCAGCTACTTGGGAGGCTGAAGCAGGAGAATTGCTTGAACCCAGGAGGCAGAGGATGTAGTGAGCCAAGATCACGCCACTGCACTCCAGGCTGGGCGACAGGGCAAGACTCCATCTTAATAAAAGGGAAACTCTTCTAGAACTAGATAGAGGTGATGGTTACACAGCATTGTGAATGGGCAAAATCTACTGAATTGTACATTTAAAAAATGGTTACTTTTATGTGAATTTCACCTCAGTTAAAAAAAAAAAAAAAATTAGCAAGAGTAATAAAAGTAGTAACAGAAACATCCGGCATTTATTGAGGGCTCAGGGTATGCCAAGCATCTGAGGAGCACTTTCTTCTTTAACCCTCACAGTAACGCTAGGAGTAGCATCTATAATTACCCCATTTTATAGATGAAAAAACTGAGGCTAGAGAGGTGACGTGACTTGGGTGAGGTCACATGACTAGAAAGGGGAGAAGCCAGGATTCCAACCCAGAAGTCAGACTCAAAGATGTGTGTTCACGGCCAGGTGCAGTGCCTCACGCCTATAATCCCAGCACTTTGGGAGGCCGAGACAAGTGGATCACCTGGGGTCGGGAGTTTGAGACCAGCCTGGGCAACGTGGTGAAACCCCATCTCCACTAAAAATACAAAACTTTCTGGGCATGTTGGCGGGGGCCTGTAATCCCAGTTACTTGGGAGGCTGAGACATGAGAATCACTTGAACCTGGGTGGCGGAGGTGGCAGTGACCAAGATCACACCACTGCACTCCAGTCTGGGCAGCAGAACAAGACTCCATCTTAAAAAAATTTTTTTTTTATATATGTTCTTAACCACACACACACACACACACACACACACACCATGTTCCACCAACTCTAAGATGCACAGCTTTTCACATTTTAACATCTCTGAAATGGAGCTGTACCTGTAATCAAGGGGGTCTTAGATTGCATGAAGCACAGTGCATAAAAAGCATCTGAAATACTAAGCACCACACCTGGCATACAGTAGGAGCTCAATTATTGTGAACGAGTGTAAATATAATTATTATGATTCCTAACATAGGCCACTTGTCAAATCTTAGCTGATTCTGGGCTGTTTGGTGTGGGGAGGCCAAGAAGGGGAAGAGGAAGAAATAGCCTTTTTTTTTTTTTTTTGAGACGCAGTCTTGCTCTGTCGCCAGGCTGGAGTGCAGTGGTGTGATCTCGGCTCACTGCAACCTCTGCCTCCCAGGTTCAAGCAATTCTCGTGCTTAAGCTTCCTGAGTAGCTGGGATTACAGGCGCCTGCCACCACACCCAGCTAATTTTTGTATTTTTAGTAGAGATGGGGTTTCGCCATGTTGGCCAGGCTGGTCTCCAACTCCCGACCTCAAGTGATCCACCTGCCTTGGCCTCCCAAAGTGCTGGGATTACACGTATGAACCACTGTAACTGGCCTAGAAATAGCATTTTCTTGTTCCGCTTGTGCACTGTTATGCAAGTTACCGGACGCACAGAGTCTCGTTTCACTTTTCGCTTAAGCTAGTGGCCTGGAACTCTTGCTATCTTCATTTGACAGAAGGGGACACCGAGGTGCGGAGGGGGATGTGGCTTGTCTGTGGCTGGTGAGTGGCTCCGCCGGGGTTTGTACCCAGGAGCTTCTGACTTGGGCACCCCATGCTTGCCCCACCAAGCCCGCCCCACCCTGCACCTGGCCAGGGCAGCCTGCAGCTCCTCCTCCTTGCGGCCCAGCTGGGCCCGCAGCTCCTCTGCCCGCTGTTGCTGCTCCACCATCTGCTCCTGCAGCTCCGAGCTCTCCCCGTCCAGCCTCCGCTTCAGCTTCTCCAGCTCCTGGCGACCCTTCTCCTCCTTCCGTAGGCGGTCTGGAGGCAGGGTTGGGGGCCATGCATGAGGACTCCAGGCCTGCACACTCAGCCGCTCCCACAGAGACCTCAGGCCCCCAGCCACATACAAGGCTAAGTTCAGCACCTCCCTTAATACCTTCTCCTCCTCCCACCTTCCCCATCTATCTCAGGGACTCTCCCCACAGTGTTGTCCTAGACCCTCGGCCAGACACCTACGCACTGTCCTCTCCTCCTCATCCCCACCGACAGCCCATGCCTCCTCCCTCAGACTCTCTCTGCCCTGTGTCCACAGCCCATGCCTCCTCCCTCAGACTGTCTCTGCCCTGTCCCACAGCCCTGTCTCCTCCCTCGGCTCTCTCTGCCCTGTGTCCACAGCCCATGCCTCCTCCCTTGGACTCTCTCTGCCCTGTGTCACAGCCTCCTCCCTCGGACTCTCTCTGCCCTGTGTCCACAGCCCTTCCTCCTCCCTCGGACTCTCTCTGCCCTGTGTCCACAGCCCTCCTCCTCCCTCGGACTCTCTCTGCCCTGTGTCCCACAGCCCTCCTCCCTGTGCCCCTTCCCTTCTGCTTCTGATTCTTGCCTCCTCCCTCGGACTCTCTCTGCCCTGTGTCCACAGCCCTGCCTCCTCCCTGTGCCCCTTCCCTTCTGCTTCTGATTCTAAGTCAACAGGAAGGGAAAGGGAGACAAAAGCGTGTCTGAAACAGACAGTGGAGCAGTCAGATGGGAAGAAAGTAGGATAACCCAAGACACCACAGAGAGAAAGGGAGTTGGATTTAGAGATGCATGAAGAACTCAAGAGCTGGGAGGACACTCGATCCGCCCTGAGCTTTCCTTCCTATCCCATTTAGCAGACACAGCCACGGAGGCCCTGTAGCACATGGGGCTTGCCTGAAGTCCCCCATCAGAGCACACACAGACCCCTACAGCTCCCCACTGGCTGGGCAGGAGCTCACCCTCCATGTCTGCAATTGTGGCCTCATATTTGAGCCGTAGCTTATTGAGGCTCTTGACCTTCTCCTCCTCCTCAGCTGCCTGGGATGAGAACTCGGACAGGCGATCTTCTAGCAGCTTCCGCTCCTGAGGGGTGGGGTGGGGTGGGGGGCAGTCAGGAGCCGGGCCAGGAGCAGCCCCTACCTGATCTGAAGCTTCTGGTGTTGTTCTCATCTATGTTTCTGCTCCTCTTCACCCTTTTCTGACCTTCCTCCCCCTACACCTCCCTCTTCTTCCCATTCCCTGGGGTTTATAGAGCCATCCCACCCCCACCAGTGCACACCTGAGAAGTGCAGTGTGGCAACCCCCACGGTTTGAAGTTCACCATTCATTAACGCACCAACGCACCCGCTCCCCACTTTCCCTCCTGCCCTCAGGCCCCCAACCTTGCTCAGCTTGGAGTTCTGGTCTTCCAGGAGCAGCAGGTCCTCTTCAAATTTCTTCATTTTTGCCTCGGTCGTCACCTTCTCCAGCTGCAGCTTCTGCCGTGCCCCCTCCTCAGCCTCAAGGTGGGCCTCTAGCTCCTGGGGAGGGGAGGCAGGAGGAGTGAGGATACATGGGCCAATAGATGGAGCGTGATGGGAAGGATGGGGATGGGGATAGTCTGCGGATCCCCGGGGTGGTTCAGAGAGGTGCATACCCTGGGTGAGGCTGGGAAGGATAAAACCTTTATTGGCTTTCCCATTTCATTCATGAGCTCAACAAGCATTTATTGAGTGCCTAGTGTATGCCAGGCACAGTTCTAGACACTGAGGATGGGGAAAAGTGCCTGGCCTTCTGTAGTGAGAGATGACCGCACCACTGCACTGAAGTCTGGGTAACAGAGTGAGATCTTGCCTCTGAAAAAAAATCAACACCTATCCTTGTGGAAATCACTTTCTTATGTGGGGGTTAGGGGTACAGATTATAAACAACAAATACAGTAAATAGGTCGGGTGCGGTGGCTCACACCTGTTATCCCAGCAATTTGGAAGGCTGAGGTGGGTGGATCACCTGAGGTCAGGAGTTCGAGACCAGCCTAGCTAACATACTGAAACACTGTCTCTACTAAAAACAAAAAAATTAGCTGGGTGTGGTGGCACACGCCTGTAATCCCAGATACTGCTGTAGAGGTTGAGGCAGGAGAATTGCTTGAGCCTGGGAGACGGAGGTTGCAGTGAGCTGAGATGGCGCCACTGCACTCCAGCCTGGGCGACAGAGCAAGACTCTGTCTCGAAAAAACAAAAAACAAAAAAACACTACTGAGCCCTTGAAAGGTGGCTGATGTGGACTAATGAACTGAATTTTCTGTCTTATTTAATTTTACTTATTTTAAATTTAAAACGAGACACCCAATCACTGAAAAGCTTTTTAAGCATGTTTGGAACAACTTGCCCATGTGAATCTAGTTTTTATAAACTGCAGAAATTGTGAAATTGAAATACGGATCAAGTATTTCCAATGAGAATTTAGCATCTGCATTGAGATGTGCTATTGTGTAAAATACACACTAGATTTTGAAGAGGAACCATCAGGGCAGCCTGCCGGTGAATGAAGCCAGGAGATGGAGAGAGGGGGAGTACTGAGGACATTGCCTAAATGCCTGGATCCAGCCATGCCTGAAGCTGAGGACAGCACTTGGGCGCCTGGATCCAGCCATGCCTGAAGCTGAATATTTCACTTGGACATCTGGATCCACCCATACACGAAGCTCACACATTCTAGGGTCTCCCGTGATCTGCATCAAAAATGTATACTTTTTGCAAATTCACTTAGAACTGAGTTTTCTACAAATTCGGGGCCAAAGACACATGGTTTGCAGAAGCAAGGTGGATGGTGTAGACAGAGGGGTCTGGAGGGTGGCCTGGTGGGCATGCAGAGGGTCAGACCTGTATGTGCTGCTGCAGCCTCCTCTTCTCCGTTTGCAGCTGACGACTGCACTCCTCCTCCTCGCCCACGCGAGCCTCCAGCTCTGACACCACCAGCTCCAGCTCCTGCTTGCGGGCTGCCAGCCTCCCCCGCGTCTCCTCGGCCTCTGCACACAGTTCTGCCTCTGCTCGCAATTGCTCTGCCAGGCGGGCGCGCTCCTCTTCCAGCTGGGGAGTATGTGGGAAGTTAGTGGTCAGCAGGCAGGGCTCCCAGGGCAACCTGCACCAGGTGCCTGCTGCTGCCTTGTAACTTGCTTTGGCGTTTAAGGCCTTCAGGGCAGGACTGAGGGGTGAGAAGACACAGTGCCCCCACCTCTTCCCCCTCAGGTCCCTGTCTCAGGATGAGCCCACATCCCCCTAATCACTAAGTCAGAATCCTGGGGATGTCCTTCTCCCTCACCTCTCACAGTCATCAGCCTGCAACCCTGCTCTCTCTGGCCCCTCCTCTCTGTCCCTACAGCCCCAACAGGCTCAGGTTTGCCTTCTCTCACCTGTCTCTCTCCAGACTCCTCCCCAGCCTCCCCCCCCAGCCTCCCAGCCTCCAGCCTTTCCCCTTCCAGTCCATCCTTCAAATAGCCCCCGAAGGGTCTTTCTACCATCTCACATTTCATTTAATACTTCCATACTTAGAAATGTAACCACAGAAAATAATGCAGAAAAGGCAAACAAAAAAATGCTCAAGAAGGGGTTTGTTCTGGTATTATTATTATTATTTTTGAGACGGAGTCTCACTCTGTCACCCAGACTGGAGTGCAGCGACGCCATCTCGGCTCACTGCAACAGCCACCTCCTAAGTAGCTGGGATTACAGGCGTGCGCCACCACACCCGGCTAATTTTTGCATTTTTAGTAGAGACGGGGTTTCACCATGTTGACCAGAGTGGTCTTGAACTCCTGATCTCAGATGATCTGCCCGCGTCAGCCTCCCAAATGTTCTAGCATTATTTTAAGATAGCCAAATACTGGAAACAGTTATAAGTCCACCGCCTGCATACCACAGCCCGGCCACAGCTGAGGCCCCTGCCCCCAGATCCTACAGCCCAGCTCCATTCTGGCTCTGTCGGACTCTCCCACCCCACCCCTACCCGGCCCATACCCTGGCTACACCACCAGGGCCCTGCTCCCGGCACGTCACGATTCAACCAAACTAAACAGTCCCAATCCCCGCCAGGCCTCAGTATACCTTAGCTTCGCTCCCATCCTCCCGACAGCCATGCCACGGCACAGGCTGGCTCAGCCGGAAGCCCCGCCCCTCACTCCTGGCTCCACCCATGCGACATAGCCCCGCCCCCAAGACACGCCCCCACGCCCTGCCCCCACCCCCTCACCTGTGCCACTCGGCCCTGGAGCTCCCCAACTTCGCGGGCGCTCTGCTGCTGCAGCTCCTGCACTTTCTGCAGCTCCTGGGCCCGTGCCTGCAGCACCTCATCCTGCCGTGTCACCTGCAGCAGTGGCTTCACCTAGGTGGAGGTGAAAGGGGATGCAATGGCTGACTTCCAAGGTGTGAGGCCACCTGACCCAGGAGCCAAGGCCTCACACTCTTGGTCGGGTCTGAGTTTCTGGGTTCAAATCCCATCTCCTCCACCTATTAGCTGTGTGTCCCCGCCTTGGCAACAGTCCTTGGTCACAGGCCTAGAACACTGACAGGTACAGGCAAGCACCACTAAATACACTATTGATCTATCTAATGTATCTGGCTGGCTAAAGGATCCCTCCACATCCAAGAGGCACTGTGGACTGTGGCCGCTGCTATTCTGTGGAACAGTCTTTCTTTCCTCCCTTCCTTCTTTCCTTCCTTCCTAATTTTTTGTTTGTTTGTTTGTTTGTTTTTTGTTTTTGATGGAGTCTCACTCTCTCGCCAGGCTGGAGTGCAGTGGTGTGATCTCAGCTCACTGCAACCTCCGCCTCCCAGGTTTAAGCGATTCTCCTGCTTCAGCCTTCCGAGTAGCTGGGATTACAGGCGTGTGCCACCACGTCTGGCTAATTTTTGTGTTTTCAGTAGAGAGGGTTTCGACATGTCGGCCAGGCTGGTCTCAAACTCCCGACCTCAGGTAATCCACCCGCCTCAGCCTCCCAAAGTGTTGGGATATAGGCATGAGCCACCGTGCCTGGCCAAGGGCCAGTGTTTCTTAAGCCTGTTAGTCCAAGATCCTTAGTGAGAAAAGAGCTTTACATGGCATGATTCAGGCTGCAGTGACAGAGGTACACACAGTACTGAAACAAAAATTTCACAAAAGCTCGTTCCCCTTGCTAAGTGAGATCCGCTCTGATAAATTCTGTTCTATCATATTCTACTCCGTTCTACACAAGTCTACTTGATTCTTTTCCTCTCTACCCAATTCTGTATCCATTCTATTCTCTTCTTTTCTGCCCCAACTCCTAGCATCTTTCACAGGCATCATTCACGTTTCTGAACTGATGCCAATCAAATCCTACGTGACCCCAACCCCCAACACCTAAGGTAGGCAAACTTTTTCTTCAAGGGCCAGCCAGGAAATATTTGAGACTTTACAGGCCACCCTGGCTCTGTTTATTTATTATTTATTTATTTATTTATTATTATTATTATTATTTTGAGACAGAGCCTTGCTCTGTCACCCAGGCTGGAGTGCGGTGGTGCAATCTTGGCTCACTGCAACCTTCACCTTCCGGGTTCTAGTGATTCACCTGCCTCAGCCTCCCGAGTAGCTGGGATTATAGGCGCCCACCACCACATCCAGCTAACTGCTATATTTTTAGTAGTGACGGGGTTTCAGCATATTGGCCAGGCTGGGCTTGAACCCCTGACCTCAAGTGATCCACCCACCTTGGCCTCCCAAACTGCTGGGATTACAGGCATATGTCTCCATGCCCGGCCAGTGTTTTTTTTTTTTTTTTTGAGGTGGAGTCTCGCTCTGTCGCCCAGGCTGGAGTGCAGTGGCACGATCTCGGCTCACTGCAAGCTCCGCCTCCCGGGTTCACGCCATTCTCCTGCCTCAGCCTCCCCAGTAGCTGGGACTACAGGCGCCTGGCACCATGCCCAGCTTTTTTTTTTTTTTGTATTTTTAGTAGAGATAGGGTTTCACCGTGTTAGTCAGGGTGGTCTCGATCTCCTGATCTACCCTTCTCGGCCTCCCAAAGTGCTGGGATTACAGGCGTGAGCCACCGCGCCCGGCCCCAGTTTTTGATTTTTCTTTCTTTTTCTGAGACAGGGTCTCACTCTTGTCACCCAAGCTGGAGTGCAGTGATATGACCGTGGCTTACTGTAGCCTCATACTCCTGGGCTTAAGCAATGCTTCCTCCCAAGTAGCTAGGACTACAGATGTGCACCAGTACACCCAGTTATTTATTTATTTATTTTTTGTAGAGACGAGGAGCTCACTTTGTTGCCCAGGCTGGTCTCGAACTCTTGGGCTCAAGTGATGCTCCTGCCTTGGCTTCCCGAAGTGCAGGGATTACAGGTGTGAGCCACGACCCTCAGCTTCTGGCTGTTTACCTACTCCACTCAGCTGTTGTAGCTCAGATGCAGCTGCAGACACCACGCTAACGAAAGGGCTTTTGCAAAAGCAGCCATCAGGCCCAAACCTCCCTCCATTCTCCTCTCTTCTCTCCAGTTTCCCCCTGGGGAAACACCCAGTCCCCGAGCTCCACAGCGCATGGCGACCTGGCTTTGCACCCTCTGCTTTGGGTAGGGATGTGATGCCAGCCTGGCTCATCTGATCCCTACTAACTGGCTCTGGGATGGTCACATGACTCCAGCTCGGCCAACGAGCATGAAACCTGGGAATTTGGCTGGAGCTCTGTGATAAGACAGACCAGGCTGGCCAAGGTGGTTGGGGGTAAGTCTCTATCTGCTGGGGGGCCCTGTGTGGAAAGCCTCTGTTGGTGATCATCACGGAGGAAAGCCGAGTGGGAGACGTAGAACACTGGATACTGACGTCACTGTTTGGACCATTGTGCAGTAAAGCGCTAACTCAACAGGCCTGGGTTGTCCAAACCCCCCACATTCCTAAGAAAGTCCTGGTCCTTGATGGGCTCCTGGGAGGTAACCTCTAAGTCCTTGGAATGTCCCGTCTGATAAGAGTGCCTTGGTTTACCTGGAGCCTTGGGCCACCCTGGATAGTCTATGCTAACGGTGGGATCTGTGGTGGGGGCCTTGGGCCACATTGCATCAGTTTGACTCTGGAGGGGCTGGAGACTAAGTGAGGTCACCATGTGTGTCACCTTGTCCATGCCTGTGTGACCAGCCCTAGGAAAAACGCTGAACATCAAGGCTCAGGTGAGCTTCCCTGGTTGGCAATACCCCATGCATGTTATCATACTTCATTGCTAGGAAAAGCTAAGTGTTGTCCACACGACTCCACTGGGAGAGAACAGCTGTAGGCTCATGCTTGGTCTCTCCAAGACAGATATGTACTTTTTTTTTTTTTTAATTACTATTTAACCTTTGCTCTTTTCTCTTTTCTTCTTTCTTCCTTCCTTTATCCTTCCTTCTTCCTTCCTTCCTTCCTTCCTCTCTTTCTCTCTTTCTCTCTTCAGAGTCTTGCTCTGTTGCCCAGCAAGTAGTGTCACAATCTTGGTTCACTGCAACCTCCACCTCCTAGGTTTCAGTGATTCTCCGACCTCAGCCTCCCAAGTAGCTGGGACTACAGGCACGCGCCACCATGCCCGGCTAATTTTTGTATCTTTAGTAGAGACGGGGTTTCACCATATTGGCCAGGCTGGTCTCGAACTCCTGACCTCAAGTGATCCACCCCCCTCGGCCTCTCAAACTGCTGGGATTACAGGTGTGAGCCACCGCACCCGGCACCTTTGCTATTTTCAATCTGTTTCTTTGTATTGTGATAAACTGTAGTTGTGAGTACAACAGCTTTTCTAAGTTCTGTGAGTCCTTCCAGAAAATCCTTGAACCCTTACATCCTTGCGGACCCCTGGATCCAGGTGCAGCCCACATTGTCTTGAATCTTTGATCCATGTTGTTTTGAGTCAGATTTTTCTTGTCGCTTCCTAACTAAAAGATTCCCAGCTAGCAAAGGCTGGGCCGACTGGCCCCATTTTACTGATGGAGAAAACTGAGGCACACATGGAGGAAGTCACTTGTCAAGCAGAGCAAGCCCCAAGGCCCTATCCTCTCCCTGCTCAGGCCACCTCCCCAGGCTGCCCTCACCTTGGTAAACAGCCGCCACCACTGCCAGTGTCTCAGCTTCAGGTAGGCTGCGCAGTTCCGCTGCATCACCCTCAGGGCACTCTGCTGCTGCTGGCGCTTCTGGAAGGCCCTGGGTGGGGAAACGGGTGAGGGGCAGAGTGGGGGCTCAGCTCCTCCAGGTGCCATCCCCTTAGCAAGAGAGCCAAGCTCCTTTCTTTTTTCTTTTCTTTTTTTCTTTCTTTCTTTTTTTTTTTTTTTTTTTGAGACAGAGTCTTGCTCTGTTGCCTAGGCTGGAGTGCAAGGGCACGATCTCAGCTCACTGCAACCTCCACCTCCCGGGTTCAAGCGATTATCCTGCCTCAGCCTCCCAAGTAGCTGGGATTACAGGTGCGCGCCACAACACTGGGCTAATTTTTGTATTTTTAGCAGAGATGGGGTTTCACCGTGTTGGCCAGGCTGCTCTCGAACTCCCGACCTCAAGTGATCTACTCGCCTCGGCCTCCCAAAGTGCTGGGATTACAGGCGTGAGCCACTGCGCCTGACCAAGCCAAGCTCCTTTCACTTAGCCATCCTAAAATGCCTACTGTGTGCAGGCGTTCTTATTACTTTTAGATCTGTGTTCTGGCCGTTCGCCCCCCTGCCCCTGACTCTCTCTGCCCTGTCCCATGGCCCCAGCCCCTCTGCCTAGCCTCCTTCTCCAGCCTCTCCTATCCGCCCATCCCGGCACGCCTCTAGAGGGTCTTTCTACACCCAGGGCTGACCCACCCCGCCCCTGCTCACAGCCCTCCATGGCTCCCTAGCTCCTCTGGACGAGGCCCCACTCAGCCTGGTGTTTGGGCCATCCTTTCCTGCCACTCTATTCTTTGAGGCTTTTTTTTTTTTTTTTTTCCCAATACAGTCTCACTCTGTCACCCAGGCTGGAGTGCCGTGGCATGATCTTGGCTCACTGCAATCTCTGCCTCCTGAGTTCTCCTGCCTCAGCTTCCCGAGTATCTGGGATTACGGCTAATTGTTGTATTTTTAGTAGAGACGGGGTTTCACCATGTTGGCCAGGCTTGTCTCAAATTCCTGACCTCAAGTGATCCACCCGCTTCAGCCTCCCAAAGTGCTGGGATTACAGGTGTGAGTCACCGCACCCGGCCTCTCTGAGCCACTTCTAAGGAGGAAGGAGAGTCTCCCGCAAACGCCCTGTATTCCTGAAGCACGCCAGGATCTTGCACTGTTGGACCTTTGCACAAGCTTCCTCCTGCCCTGAGCACCTTTCCCACTTTCCTTCATCCACCTGGTGGTCCGGAGTGGCCTGGGGCAGTCACGGCCTGCAGCAGGGCCTCCTTGCTGCACCTCTATGGCCTGCAGCAAAGCAGGTCTCACCCGGGACTGGGACTCTGTGCCCATGCAAGTCTCACCTCCAGACTGGAGCCCCTCGAGGGAATGGGCAGGGAGAGCGGACAGCTTGACCCGGGTTGCCCCGAGTTTTCTCTGTTTTAGCATTGCAAGTCCTGCACCCTGGGAAACCCCATCCCAGGCCCACTAGGACAGCTGGTCACCCTATGGCTAAGTCTGGCCTCTGTGTTGCCAGTCTTACTCTGTACAGGGCCTGCCCACAGGGCCCCTCAGGGACTGCAGAACCAAGAAGCCTGGGCACCCGGCAGCTCCATCCACCTGCTCCTCAGCCCACCCGTCCTGGAGGCCCTGACACTGGAACCATCTGGTCAACCCCTCCCTGACCCAGCCTCGGCCAACAGGACCCCGGGAGACAGCGTGGCCGCCCACCTGCGAGCCAGGTATCCCCGGGCAGCTGCCTGGAAGGAGACGATGATGTCAGTGACCTTCAGGTCTCGCTCCTCTTCCAGCTGGGCCAGGACCCCGGCCCGGAAGAAGATCTTGCTCTGTCCTACGCGGTAGAGGTTGGGGTCCAGTTCCAGTGCCTGGATCTGTGAGGGGTGGGAGAGGGGTGATGATGGAGAGGGGGGTGATGGGGGAGTGGGGGTGGTGAGGAGGGGGAGTAATGGGGGAGGGGTGGCGAGGAGGGGGAGTGATAGGGAAGGGGTGGTGATTGGGGAGAGGGGGTGATGTGGGAGGGAGGCGATAGGGGAGGGAAGTGATGGGGGAGGGGGTGATGAGGAGGGTGATAGGGTGGGGGTGATGTGGAGAAGGGTGATGGGGAGGGGAGTTATAGGAAGGAGGGTGATGGGGGAGGGGGATGATGGCGGGGTGGTAAGGAGGGGCAGTGATAGGGAAGGGGTGGTGATTGGGGAGGGGGGTGATGGGGTAGGGGGTGATGTGGAGGAGGGTGATGGGGGAGGAGAGTTATAGGGAGGGGGTGATGGGGGATGGGGATGGGGGTGATGGGAGAGGGTGATGGGGTGACGGGTAGGGGGTTGATGGGGGATGATGAGGAAGTGGGGGTGGGGGCGTTGATAGGGAGAGGTAATAAGGAAGGGCAATGAAGGGGAGATCCCAGCCCCACTCCCCCACCACCTGGCCCCCTGCACACACATGCGCACACACATACACACACATGCACACACACGTGCGCACACACACACAAACACATGCACACACACACAAACACATGCATACACACAGACACACAAACACATGCACACACACACACACACACATGCACACACACACAAACACATGCACACACACAAACACATGCACACACACACATGCACACACAAACATGCACACACACAAACACATGCACACACACACAGACACACATGCACACACATGCACACACACAGACACACACATGCACACACACATGCACACACACGCACACACACATGCATACACACGCACACACACAGACACACACACATGCACACACATGCATACACACACAGACACACACATGCACACACACACATGCACACACACACAGACACACACATGCACACACACACACGCACACACACACAGACACACATACAGACACAGACACACGCGCCTGCACACACGCGTATGTCTCCACAAACACGCACACACACACGCCAGGCTCTGTTCCACGCACCATCTTTTCACAGGCCTGCTTCCCATCCATGAAGCCCTTGGGGATGGCATTGGGCGTCAGGATCTCGTACCTGCAACGAGCAGGGAGAGGTGGGGAGGAGAGAGTTACAGCAAAGGCTCACCTAGTGCCTGCTGCGGGCCAGGCACTGGGCTCAGAGTGACACACAACAGGAACAACGGTGACAATAACAAGAACAGTCACAAAACTCACATCCGAGCATTCACGCCACCACCAAGGACGGCAACACGGACGAGGATCGAAATGATTGACTGCTTCAGTTTTTTGTTTTGTTTGTTTTTTGAGATGGAGTCTCGCTCTGCCATCCAGGCTGGAGTGCAGTGGCGAGATCTTGCCTCACTTCTACCTCTGTCTCCTGGGTTCAAGCAATTTTCCTGCCTCAGCCTACTGGGCAGCTGGGATTCAGGCATGTGCCACCACACCCGGCTAATTTTTGTATTTTTAGTAGAGACGGAGTTTCACCATGACGGCCAGGCTGGTCTCAAACTCCTGACCTGAAGTGATCCACCCACCTCGGCCTCCCAAAGTGCTGGGGTTACAGGCATAAGCCACGGTGCCCGGCCAGTATTGGCCAGTATTTTGGATGTATTGGCTTTAGTAAAATATCTTGTTAAAATTAATTCCATTTTTTTCACTTTAAAAAGTGTAGCTATTAGAAAATTTTCAGTTGTGTACAAGGCTTCCATTCTACTTCTAAGGGGTGGTGCTGCTCTACACAGCTTGTGTGAAGCATCGTTTTTGTTATATTTGCTGTATTACTTGCTCATTAGGCCTTGGTATTTTCTGTTCTGTCTTCTTCTTCTTTTTTTTTTTTTGAGACCTAGTTTTGCTCTTGTTGCCCAGGCTAGAGTGCAATGGCACGATCTCGGCTCACTGCAACCTCCGCCTCCCGGGTTCAAGCGATTCTCCTGCCTCAGCCTCCCGAGTAGCTGGGATTACAGGCATGCCCCACCACGCCTGGCTAATTTTGTATTTTTAGTAGAGACAGGGTTTCTCCATGTTGGTCAGGCTGGTCTCGAACTTCTGACCTCAGGTGATCTGCCCGCCTCGGCCTCCCAAAGTGCTGGGATTACAGGCGTGAGCCACCACGCCCGGCCTTCTACTTCATTTTTAAAGACATGCAGATTTGTAACACCATGCAGTGATTTCACGTTCATGGTTTGGGGACCACGGCCCTAAATAGCAGCAGCAATGTACCCCAGGTCCCCCATAGACTCTGTGTGCTTTTTCTCGGGAGTGCATCAAGTGGGCTATTGTTCTCCCATACCACAGATGAGTAAACTGAGGCTCAGCAAAGTGAGTAATCTGCCTCAACTTCCCCAGCTCGGAAGGAGCAAGAGTGGGTGGAGACCTGAATGCAGGCGTGTCAGCTTCCAAATCCGGGTCCCACCCAGTCCCTCTGCCAGGCCTGGGCCCCCGCTCTCGCTCACCGCTGCCGGAACTCCTGGAAGAGGATGCGGTTGGGGAAGCCCTGGCGACAGATGCGGATGCCCTCCAGGACGCCGTTGCAGCGAAGCTGGTCCAGCACCAGCCGGGGCTCCAGCTTCCCAGCCTGGGGAGAGGACGGACACGCTGGGGGTCAGTGGCAGCCACACGGGGGCGCCAAACGGTCAAGCGTGGCAATTTCCTATGTTTCCGTATGTAATTTACTGAGCACCTACTAGGTGCCTAGGAACTGTTCTAGGCCCTGGGAACACAGCAATGCTCAAGCCAGGGGGAAATGCCTTCCCTGGGGAACTGAGAGTTCAGTGAGAGAAACTGGAAATACCCTAGGTGAAGCAGTCACTAATAAAGAAGAAATACTAAGTGCTAAGGAGAAAAGATCCTCAGGGAGGGAGGTGGGCAGGGCTGAATTTGCACGCAGGAGAGTTGCCAAAAGGCCTCCTGGGAAGCTGATGTCTGTCCAAAGCTGGTAAATCATGGTTTTTGTTTGTTTGTTTGTTTGTTTAGGACAGTCTTGCTCTCTTGCCCAGGCTGGAGTGCAATGGCATGATCTCAGCTGACTGCAACCTCCGCCTCCCAGGTTCAAGAGCTTCTCCTGCCTCAGCCTCCTGAGTAGCTGGGATTATAGGCGCCCGCCACTATGCCCAGCTAATTTTTGTATTTTGAGTACAGATGGGGTTTTGCCATTGCCCAGGCTGGTCTTGAACTCCTGGGCTCAAGCAGTCCTCCCACCTCAGCCTCCCAAAGTGCTGGGATTACAGGCATGAGCCACCGTGCCAGGCCGCCTTTTCTCTTTTCAACAGTAATACACAAATGGCAAAAATCTAAACAGTACAAAAATTTAAATGGCACATGCTCTCATTAAATATGCCACCAAGAAAGGAAAAAGCCTGGCAATTAAACCCCGACAGGCCATTGACAGTAAGCTACATCTCGACTTCAGAGACGCTAGTGGGGAGGAATACATGTCTTAGATTTGATAAAAGATGGGATCTCAGGCCGAGCGTGGTGGCTCACGCCTGTAATCCCAGCACTTTGGGAGGCCAAGGCGGGTGGATCGCTTGAGCTCAGGAGTTCGATACCAGCCTGGGCAGCATGGCAAACAGCGTACTTTTGCATTCCCATTGACCCTTCTCTGTAGGGCCCATTCTCTGATTTTCTCAACATGAAATCAGTGGCCAGTGAGGTTGGCCATGGTCTTGTCGCACCTATGCAACAACCCCAGCCCTGATGGCCTTCTTCTATCCCTTGTACCTCGCATGCTCCATCCTACCATTGGACCTTTGTACAGACTGTTCTCTGTCTGGAATACCACGTATCCTTCAGGGCTCAGTCATCGCCTCCCCCAGGGGGCCTTCCCTAACTTCACTGACCAGATCAAGCCCTATGTGACACTTACCACCCCTACAGATTTAACTGGGCATTCATTGTGGGTGGTTAGATGAATGTCTGTGCTCCCCATGAAACTGTGAGCTCCCTGAGAACAGGAGTTGGCTGTGCTTTTCTCTCCAGTGCCTCCCCACTACCTGTTCCCAGCACGGTAGGTGCTCAATACATTTAAGTTATATGAATGGATGAATTTTCCCAACCGGACCCTGAGCCTAGGAACAGAAGCAATTTGCTCAAAGCCACACAGTCAATCAGAGAGGGTCCTCAAATCAGATGTGGCTCCAGCCAAGTCCAGAGGCCAAACCTTAACCCACGGCCACAGCCATCCCTTCCTCCCCAGGCTGAGTCACTCACCCTCTTCTCGTGGTTGGGGACAATGCAGCGGACAAAACTGGGGTTGGTGTTGCTGAGTGTGGCCATGAGGCGGCTCAGGGACTCCTTGTAGAGCTGTCCCACTGTTCGGAACATACCCCGGCGGGGGCGGCCACCTGGTGGGCCATCACCCAGGCTGCTCACCTGTTCCAGCCCCACGATGCCCTCCACTGTCAGATGGAGATACAGAGAGACAGAAGGAGGTCAGGGGTCAGTTTTAGGGACCGGGGCCAAAGGTCAAGGGTCTTATCATTTATCACAACTGACACTTTACATATGAAGGACCTCACACAGCCTGTAAGGTAGTTATTATCAGCTCCATTGGACAGAGGCTCTGAAGGGTAGGAGAATGTGCTTAAGGTCACACAGCTTAGGAAATGAAGATCCAAGATTAGAACCCAGACAGTAGGAGTCCTCTCAAACCCTGGTCTTTGACCCTTCTTCTCTTCAAGGACATGATCTCTGTTTTCCTTAACAATAAATGATGACAATAACAGCAAATGCTTACCTAGCATAGATGCTCTGGCAGGCACTGCTCAAAGCAATTTACATCAATGGCTTTATAAGCCTGTAAGAATCATTCCCATTTTATAGATTTGGAAACTGAGGCACAGAGCGAGAAAACAGTGATAACATAATCACTGCAGTTGCATTTTAGGAATCTGAAACATAGTACAAGATGTAATAAATTATTGCATTATATGCAATATTTGAAATAGGGCAAACGATCTCCATGTTAACCATTTTTCCAGAATGCCTGATTTCATAGAGGTTTTATTTTCTTGGCAGGGTGTGGTGGCTCATGCCTAGAATCCCAGCACTTTGGGAGGCCAAGGCGGGTGGATCACCTGAGGTCAGGAGTTCGAGGCCAGCCTGGCCAACATGGTGAAACCCCCTCTCTACTAAAAATACAAAAAATTAGGCAGGTGTGGTGGTGCGTGCCTATAATCCCAGCTACTTGGGAGGCTGAGGCAGGAGAATCACTTGAACCTGGGAGGCAGAGGTTGCCGTGAGCCAAGATCACGCCACTGCACTCCAGCCTGGGCAACAGAGCGAGACTCCGTCTCAACAAAAAGATTCTATTTTCTCTATTGCCACTTGGTGGTGCTGCTTTGGGTAGTGAAAAATATCCGAAAAATATCCACTCCTTCCATCGGTACTGTCTCGAATTCTGTTTTGTTTGTTTTCTGAGACATGGTCTCGCTGTCACCCAGGCTGGAGTACAGTGGAGTGATCACAGCTCACTGCAGCCTCAACCTCCTAGGCTCAAGTGATCTTCCTACCTTAGCTTCCCAAGTAGTTGGGACTACAGGCGCACACCACTGATTTTTACATTTATTTTTAGAGACGGGGTCTTCCTGTGTTGCTCAGGCTAATCTCAAACTCTTGGCCTCAAGTGATCCTCTCACCTTGGCCTCCCAAAGCGCTGGGATTATAAGGGTGACTCAATGCACCTGGCCCAAATTCTATGGGTTAAATCATGCCAGGTTCCTCAGGAACCCACAGCTAGGGCGGAATCTGATGTCCTTCAAAAATCATCCCATTCAAGGGCCATCAGCCATCAACTAGATAATCTGTGCTTAGGGCAGGGCCAAGTCATGGCAGGGGCTCAAATATGTTATTTTCTTCCCCAGCTTCAACTGTCTCCCCTATCCCATACTCCCTGTCATTTTCAAAATGATAATTATCATTTATGAAGTCCTCATAGCACAGATAAGAGCTAAAGTTCTGAAATCTGATGTCCTGGGTTCAAATCCCAGCTCTGCCACTTACTGGCTGTGTGACCTCAGCAAGTTACTTAACCTCTCTGTGCTTTAGTTTCCTCATTTGTGTAATGGGGTAATAGTACTAACACTCACCTCATGAGGTGTTAGTACTATTACCCCATTACACAAATGAGGTGCTGATAATTCTAAAGGGGCTTCACATGGTGAACGGCACATAGTAAGTGCTCAAGAAACGCCAGCTGGCACTATCACACCTGTTTGTACTTTTACATGCAGTTTAGTTAGAAGAAGGCGTTCTGCTGCTACAGAGTCTGGAAACTTCCGAGGGAGCCAACAAGGAGGGATAGGAAGAGTGAGAGACCTCCACAGTGAGAGGAGAGGGGACAGATGTTCAAAACCAGGTCCCCAGCCCAACAGGTCCACCCTCCTCCTCCAGCAAGCCTCACCCATTGATGCACAGAGACACCCACCCCCTGGTGGAGAAACAGCAGAGCTGCACCTCTCTGCAGATCCTGGGGGCGACGGTGGGAAGGAGCCAAGGAAAGAGAACTGCTGGAAACCCCCGTGTTCTGGGGAGTGAGGACAGATGTGTGGGTGGGTGGAGGGGAGATGGCAGAGAGATGTCGGGGAGAGATGCATGAAAAGAGGGGAAGGAAAGGAGGTGGCAGGAAGAAAGAGAGGAAAGGGTTATTAGTCAACAGCACAGAACAGAGCAAAGCAAGAGGGAAAACCAGAATGTTGGCCATAAGCTTTTGAATTCCTATTCATCTTTGTATCCACACACTGTTGGCCAAAAGGACAAATGTCCTCTGTAAGAATTCAGTGCAAAGAATAAAAAATCTCTCCCTCTAGAGGTTGTATCTATTTTAATAGGTAGCCCTTTTTGCTCTGGCTGCCAGGAAGCTCAAGAATGAACTTGATGCTCCCAGGCCACTTGTTGTTTTTGCCTCTCAGAAGAGAGCTAATCTCATTTACCTTTTTCCCTGGGCTGTCAGGATGATGGGCATACAATTCTGGGCTCAAAGCAGCTCTAGTATAGGTTGGGCAAAACTGGCCCCGATTCCCCACTTTTCTCTGTATTGACACCCTTTGCCTGTGTCTTGCAGCTCCTTGAATCTGGGAAGACCTCGTGACTGCCTTTGTTTAGGAGGATTATGGAGGAAGTGACATTATGGCAGCTACCCAGCTACTTGGGAGGCTGAGCCAGCAGGTTTTGCAGCTTCCACTTTTTCTTTTGGAACCCTCTGCGAGTCAGGCACACACAGAGTGTGACAAATGAGGGCTCACTGTAGAGAATCAGGTGTTTATGAAGAGGGGATTTAAAAGGGCAGCAGATTTTCAGCCGGGAGATGATTCTCATAGCATAATCTGGTTCTGTTCCTGAACATCAAACCCTGCTTTCCAATCTCCTGTGTAAATACTACATGAGACACAAACATAAAATCTATCTTTCTAGCATCAGCTCACAAGATCAAGACCCTCCATGCTCTTTTGCTCTGTGAGTGTGTTTTGGGAACCACTCGTCTTGCTCATTTGGGAGCCACTCAATTTGCCAAATTGCATGGACTGGTATTTCTACAGCTGCCTTTTCACTTCAATAAAAGAAAAAGGCAAACTGACAAATGCCAGAAAGTTGTAACCTGGAAAAAACAGGATGCTAGTTCTGCCAGCTTTCTAAAACCATTTCTCAAACCTCCTCTAAGGATGGGGGTGGGGATGGGGGCGGTGGCAGAAAAGGCTTGGAAAAGGTCAGAGTCCTACCACAGGGCATTTGACATCTCTGCCTATGACCCCTAGAAGTGTCAATCGAAAAAGACAGTCAAACTCATGGGGGCCTTTTTAGGGAAGGAAAGCCCTCCAAAACTGTATCTCAGTCTGTTCTTTCTTTCTTTCTTCTTCCCTGGGGGCTTGAAGGGAACTTTGTAAGAAAACAAAGCAAAGCCTAAAAGTTGACTGACCTGCAAAACATCATCATTCTGTGTTCTCTGGTTGTTATAAATTATTTTTCAGTTGTAGTAGATTTTTTTTTTTTTTTTTTTTGAGACGGAGTCTCACTCTGTCACCCAGGCTGGAGTGTAGTGGCACAATCTTGGCTCACTGCAACCTCCACCTCCCAGGTTCAAGTGATTCTCCTGCCTCAGCCTCCCAAGTAGCTGAGACTACAGGCATGTGCCACCACACCTGGCTAATTTTTGTACTTTTAGTAGAGATGGGGTTTCACCATGTTGGCCAGGCTGGTCTTGAACTCCCGACCTCAAGTGATCCGCCCACCTTGGCCTCCCAAAGTGCTGGGATTACAGGCGTGAGCCACCATGCCTGGCCAAATCTCTTAATTTTTTAGAGAACACAGGCCATCTACAAATAATAAGTTTACCTCTTCCTTTTTGACATTCATATTTTTTTCTGGTCTGATTGCATAGGCTAGTATTGCTAAAAAAAAAAAAAAAAAAAAAAGCGATGTTTAACAGCAGTGTTAGTGGGTATCTTTGTCTTGTTTCTGATTAAGGGGGAGTGTTTTATCTTTGAGAAGGATGCTGGCTTATCAATCAAATCAATCAATTAATCTATGGATCCATCCATCACTGATTTGAAATACTATTTGTGACACGGGCTGTTCTGGGTCTGAGCAGAAAACTCAGGTTCAGATCTCAGCCTCTGAAACAAAAGTGCTCACACTCTGGGTTGGGAGAATGGCTGCAAAGACCCCCAGGGCTGGAGCCAGGGAAGCAGGTCCTCACCATCTTTCCAGATCTCTGCCGTCAGCCGGTCTGTGCTCTGGTGAAGCAGGGCTGCGACATTGTCATTCAGAGGGTCCATGTTTTTCATCAGCCACTCGTTGGCCTTGTAGTCGACCTGAATGAAGTCAGGTAGAGGAGGGCAATGACTTGCAGGCTCAGACATTCTCTGGATTTCCTAAGGAGCCTTCCAGAAGCTCTGAGGTCTGGAGCTCACCATGGACAAGAGAGCACTGGTACCACCTTGTGTCCATACTCTGAACTGCACCCCACTGGCATGGCCCCCTCTCTCTCCTTCTTCTCTATGTCCCCTGCCATAGAGACCTCTGTGACCTCCACTGCCACCACTTTCTTCCTCGTTCCTCTCCAGCCACCCTGGCCTCCGCACTGCTCCTTAAACACGCGAGCTTACTCCCACCTCGGGGTTTTACCCCTGCGGTTCCTGCCACCTGGGGTTCTGTCTCTGGATTTCACAAGACTGGCTCTTTCTGGGTACTCAGGGCTTTGTGTTGGGGCTCCACAGAGTCACGATCTTGGCCACTACAATTCTCTGCATATGTGCCCCCCACCAGACAGCGCCCCCCGAGGGCAGGGCCCAGATCTGACTCATGGCATAGCAGAGGGCTGGGTACAAGGGGAGTTCTGGATTGTGTCTGGGGAAGAAACTGAGGGCTACACACAGAACACATGGAATCTCCTGCCTCCTAGCCATTGTCTATGCTGTTCCCTCCGCCTGGACAGCCCTTCCCACTCTTTGCCCATCCTCTGGGGCTGCCTGGTCCACATCATCAAAACCAGGGATCAGTAAACTATGGCTCACGGGCAAAATCCAGCCCGCCACCTCTTTTTGCAAATACTTTTATTGGAACAGGCCGGGCGCAGTGGCTCACACCTGTAATCCCAGCACTTTGGGAGGCCTGTGCGGGTGGATCAACTAAGGTTAGGAGTTCGAGAGCAGCCTGGCCAACATGGTGAAACCTTGTCTCTACTAAAAATACAAAAATTAGCCGGGCATGGTGGCAGGCGCCTGTAATCCCAGCTACTGGGGAGGCTGAGGCAGAAGAATTGCTTGAACCCGGTAGGTGGAGGTTGCAGTGAGCCGAGATCGCGCCACTGTACTCCAGCCTGGGTGACAGAGGGAGACTCTGTCTCAAAAAAAAAAAAAAGTTTTATTGGAATAGAACCTTCATTTATGTCTTCATAGTCAAACTCATGGGGGCCTTTTGGCGGGGGGGGGGGCAGGAAAGCCCTCCAGACTGTATCTCACTCTGTTTTTTCTTTCTTTTTCCCTGGGGGCTTGAAGATACTTATGTATTATCTGTGGTTCTTTTCGTGTCACCACAGTAGAATTGTGTGACAGAGACCGTCTGGCCCACAAAGCTGAAACTATTTACTGTCGGACCCTTTACAGAAAACGTTTGCTGGCCCTTGGCTGAGATTTGAGATCGAGCATATTTTCTTCTGTGAAGCTTTCCCAGATATTTCTCTTCTGGGCTCTGACACTACCCTCAGCTGCCTCCATTCAAACACCTATTGACCTTATATCCTGATGGTCTGTATTTGCCTCCCTCCTAGATAGGGATCTTTGTGAGGAGAGAAACCATGTTTGATCTGTGTATCCAGCTTTGCTCGGCACCGAGCTGGGCACACAAATGGCAGCCCACACATGTCTGCTGAATAAGTGGATAAAATGCACATAGATCGCCTCCCGATGAACTCCTACCCATCCCTCAAAACCCACTGCAAATATCACCTCTTTGAGGAAGTTTTTGGTGATCCCATCGGACAGAGTCCTTGCTCCTCCCTGGGCTCTCCTAGCCCCTGCTCTGTTTGTCTGGCCCTCAGGAGGACCCGGTTTTCCCTCTAAACCCTCCCACCATCTGTAGCCAGTGGAGACCTCTTGATCCCCACTCCCATTCACATGCTCCAAGGCTGGCCCCAGCCCCTACCTTGCCCGCATAGTGCAGAACACTGAAGTCGGCCTGATCCCGCAGTTGCCTCGGCCGCTGGAACTTGGGGTGGCCGCCCTGCTCCTGGGCTACCTTCTCCACAAACGACTTGTCTGTGGCCTTTGGGAACCAGCACTCCTCGTCCAGCAGGGCCAGGAGTCCAGGGGGGTTGGCCTGGCCATCGACAGCAGGGGGAGAGTAAGTCAGACCCCCAAATATTGAACACTCAGGTGGCTGCTGATTTTTAGCTCTTAGAAGTCACACTTGGACATAAAAACAAATGTGAGAACGACTGTTACAGTGAGAGCCCTGATTAAACGAATGATTCAAGCCGGGCCCTGTGGCAGGCACGTTCTGGGCCCTAATCACCTATGGTCACAAAAGATCGAGGAAGCAGGTGCTGTCACCTTCCTCACAGAACCCATGGGGCATCCTGAGGCCCAGCAGAGGAGGAGCTAGACCGTGGTCATGCAGATGCTGGGAGAGACGGAACCGAACCCTGTGTGGGCTGGGAGGGGCCTGGGCTCACCGGCCGCTCGATGAGGTCGATGCAGGGCTGCAGGTCGAGGCCAAAGTCGAGGAAGGTCCAGGGGATTCCCTCACGCTGGTACTCCTCCTGCTCCAGCACGAACATGGTGTGGTTGAAGAGCTGCTGCAGCTTCTCGTTGGTGTAGTTGATGCAGAGCTGCTCGAAGGAGTTCAGCTGCAGGGACGCAGGACACATGAGCCAGGAGGATGGAGAAGGACAGAGACCCAGAGACAGGGGACAGAGACCCAGAGAGGGGGGACAGAGACCCAGAGACAGGGGACAGAGACCCAGAGAGAGAGGGGGACAGAGACCCAGAGAGAGAGGGAGGCAGAGACCCAGAGAGAGGGGGATAGAGACCCAGAGAGAGACGGGGACAGAGACCCAGAGACGGGGGACAGAGACCAGAGAAAGAAGGACAGAGACCCAGAGAGACAGGGACAGAGACCCAGAGACAGGGGACAGAGACATAGAGAGAGGGGGAGAGAGATCCAGAGAGAGGGGGACAGAGAGAGAGAGGGACAGAGACCCAGAGACAGGGGACAGAGACCCAGAGAGAGAGGAACAGAGACTCAGAGAGAGAGGGGGGGACAGAGACCAGGGAGAAGGGGAGAGACCCAGGGCTTCAGAAAGGACCAGGACCGGAGTGAGGAAGTCGGCATCCCCCTCCCAGCACGAGGGCGGACCTGGAAGATCTCAAAGCCCGCGATGTCCAGGATGCCCAGGAAGGAGGCGCCTTGGCGGGGGCTGCGGTCCAAGGCCCGGTTGAGGCGCAGAACCAGCCAGCGGAAGAGGCGCTCATAGGTGGCCTTGGCCAGGGCCTCCAGCGCGAAGTCAGCCTGTGGGGCAGGGCTGGTGGTAAGGGTGCAGCCTGCACATCAGCAGACTGAAAGACGTCAGAGGTGGACTGGGGAAGGGCCCCCAGCTCATCCCCCTTAAGGTCGCCTCCCAGCTCCTTGACCAGAAATACCATCAAGAACAATGCCACGAACAACAGGCAGACATTCCTGAAGTCCGACTGTGCGTCAGGTACTATGTGACAGGCTCGGGTGTGTGAGCCCTTGAATCCTCCCCTCACCCCTCAAACCAGTTTCTACCGCACAGTGGTTAACAGCGTGGACTCTGGAGCCGGACAACCTGGGTTCGAATCCCAGCTCTGCCACTTGGGGGCTGTGTGACCTCAGGCATGTGAATAAACCTCTCTGTGCCTCAGTTTTCTCCTCTGTAAAATGAGAACTAACAACAGTACCCCAGCTGAGCTTGAACCAGGGTCAGTGTGGCTCCCAAACTCCTCTTGTCCCCCCCAGCATCTACTTCATCCGGGCACCTCACTGCCCAGCCTAGGGCCAGCAGAGGCCTCTGCCCAAAAGCTGGATTCCGAAACCCTCCCTGGCCTGTGGTCGCTCCACTCCACCCTCCCTCACCACCCTGGTGTGAGCTCCCACGATTGCCAAGACTCTGGCTGCAGCCTCCTTAAGTCTCCCCACCTCTACCTGCATCCCTGAACCCAACTCTCCATGCAGCAGCCTAGGGGATCTTTCTGTGAAAGACAAACTGAATTAGGCCACTCCCTGGCTTAAAACCTCACTGGCCTCCTATGTACTTTGAATAAAACTCACCTCCTTACTGTGGCCCCTAAGACCTTACATGATCTGCCCCTTGCTGTTATTTCTGACTGTGGATTCACCCACCCTCTCTCCCTTCCTCTTTAGCCTCACTGACCTGACCTCCTTCAATTCTTTCTTTCTTTCTTTCTTTCTTTCTTTCTTTCTTTCTTTCTTTCTTTCTTTCTTTCTTTCTTTCTTTCTTTCTTTCTTTCCTTCCTTCCTTCCTTCCTTCCTTCCTTCCTTCCTTCCTTCCTTC